AATAATAGTGAGATTTAGGTAATAATTTTTTCGATTATCATGTGCCAGCAGACCAGAAGGGAGAGAAAATAATAATTTATTCACGCAGTTTTTTTATTAATTATAACTTATTTTCTTATTTTAACATCTTCATTTGTTGCCTTTAAATATTTGAACTTCTTTATCACTTTCGCGAACTAAAAACTATTCTCTTATTTTATATATCGTCGGGTCTGATAAAATCAACACATGATCTAATTATTTCAATTTTTTTATGATTTTGACATCCAATACTTGTATAGCAGGTTCGATACAAAATTACAAATCAATAAAGAAAGGTATATAGAGAAATAAATTAATAAAATTAACTTTTTCATAATAAACAAAAAATACAAAAATGTGAAACAATAGCTGTAACAAGACAAGTGGGATTAACAATTTCATATATTATAGTATAACACTTATGAACCATTAAAAAATTAGGATATTACAAGATAAAGTAAATAAGAAAATCAAACAAAATACCCGCCCAAGGGGCGTGTAAAAAACTAGTAACTAATTAGTGTGAGAAAGGAAACTGATTATGTATATGAGTAAATCTTGTCATGATTAAGTGATTGTTAACAATCGACAAGTTAATTAGTCAAAGTAAAGAAACAAAAACGATGCTTTAGTAATGAGTAATGACACATAAATGACTTGTCAATACAGTCAATTGTGAACATTCATCTAAATATGGGGCCGACTACCGTGACAACCCCTAAGGTGGTTGTCAATTTCGCTTCCCCCCTCGTTGTCGTCCGTCCTTCTAGTCCTCCATCCAACGGGTGAAGATGGATAGGGGCAAAAAAGAGATGTTCCACAGTGGATTGAGATCCCACTAGTTCACTGACGTAAGCCTGTTTTTTGAAAAGGCAAAGAAATCGAGGGAGAGAAACTAGCCACTCTCCCCGCCGAACCATTCGTCCCCCCGCCTTCTCTCAGAAACCCTTTCCTCCGTCTTCTCCTAAAGAATTCCCTTCCACCGTCTACGATTGGTGCGCCCCAAAAAACCCTTTTCCTCCATCTTCTCCCAAAGACTCCCTTCCACCGTCTCCGATCCTTTTTTGGCGGCGGGTCTTGAGTGTGAAGACTTTGTTGTTTGGGACATAGGTAGTTCAGTTACAACCACAACATTTATAGGGTTTTTTAGGTTTGTCTCCGTTGATTGCTTTTTCGGCCCGATTTCGGCACTTTCACTCCTCCCCACTTCGTCTTTTGATATGAAATTCTGGTTTGCTAACCTAGTTTTTTTATCTCCTTCTTGTTAAGTGCGTTGACATCACATTGTCGTGTTGGATTACCAGACTATTCGTTGAGGAGACAAAGTCGATAACTATGGAGGATGAGGGGCAACTGACCTTTACTATGGACAATGTCGATGACTATGGAGGATGGTGGCCATCTCACTTTACTAGTTTTTAGGGTGTTTGTTGTCTTTAATTTGATCTTGGACAAAGTAATGTTGCTTACATTGGCACAATTGGTTTGGTGTTTGATTGTGAAAATTCAGTACCTTCTCCCTAGTTATTTTAGCTACATACTTGGGCACTTGTGGTTTTAGAGATAACCCTTCACTGGTACGTTTTTAGCTGTACTGATACCAAAGCAATGTCACTGGTACCAATTAAAAGTTACTGGTACCAAAATAATGATACTCGTACCAAAGCAATGTTACTGGTACCAAAATCATGACACTGGTAGCATTAGTAAGACCGGTACCAAATCAGGGCTACTGGTAGCATTAGTAAGACCGATTCCCAATCATTGGTACTAGTATCCATTACTAATTCACAATAATAAGCCGTTGTCGAAATTAATTCTACTTGTTCAACTAGGGTTTAGTTGTATTATGAGCTCTAAGTAACATTAATTTGGTCAATAGTAACATTTGGTACCGGTAACATTGGTTTGGTACCAGTAACATTTGATTGGTACCAAAATCATGCTACTAGTAACCATTACTCAGTCTAATACCAAAACGGTAGTGCTTCCACGTTGAACTGTCGAATGAGACGATGGATAACAACAAACCTGTATTTAAAGAACAGATGCATTAGCAAATCGAACAATTTAACCTCCCACCAATATCCCTATACCACTAGGGAAGTACCGCTAACTACTACTAAATGACTACCACTAAGGGAGTACCACTAGATGACTACGTTACTACCACTAAAAATGTACCAGTAGATGACTACCACTAGGAGCCTACCACTAGCTAACTTGAACCATAACTGCTGGTACATTTTCACAAAACAATATTTGTACCAGTAGTAAAACGGTACAACTACAACAGAATTTGAACGACACAGGTAAATCCTACCGCCATTGTTGTAGTGCACGTCGTCGTCGACATCAACGTCGTTCTCTGTGTTTTTGTACCATTTAGGATGATCTTCGTTCACCGTCTCCTCCACGTCCAGAACTTCGTAACGTCCACTATGCACAGATCATCGCCATTCTCCGTTGGGTCCATCTGCTCAGCTACGCAGTCGTATATATCCTCGTCGTTGATTGTTAGTGGGACGTTCAGGTCGAATCCAAATATACATGTAGGTCCGCCCCCCCCCCCCCCCCCCCCCCCCCCGCCCCCCCCAACTCACTGTCGTCGTCGTTGCTCATGTAGCCATACATGGCTATGGCGGCCGTTGTGTCGTAGGTATTTTCCGTAGCTAGATGAGGGGTCTGGTTTACTGAGGGAGAAGCCAGAATTGGAAGGGAAAGTGTCCTAGTCCACACTGTCTCTTCCACTCCCCAAATCACGTCCCCCAATTATGTTCTCAGATTCTCTCCATGTATTTAAGTTTCAATTTAAATTATTAGAATTAGGTGCTTACTAAAAAGCCTTTCCTGTAATCTTGGTCGTTGGATGAAGAAGGGAAACGGACGGCAATGAGGAGGGAAGAGAGATTGACAACCCCCTTAAGGGTTGTCACACTATCCACTCCCTCTAAATATCTATAGAGAATGTGTATAGAAAGTATAGTAAATAGGTGCGAATTGAATCGTCAACCCATTCTAATTACTCGATCAATGTGTTAGTTTTTTGCTTTGACGTTGTTAGTTTGTGTGGACAATATTTAACATCAAGGATTTTGGTCAATTAGTCCATTATTGTTGTTAAGGGGTTTTCGACTCGAGCCATACAAAAAAAAGACAATTTGGTTATTTTCTTGATTGAGGGCTGTTCAGAAAAACGAAGACATGCATTCAGGTCTATCGACGAGAATATTACTTGGAACTCTTAGAAATATATTGATTTATTTAATTGTAGTGTCAACATGTCCAACATATGCATCGTAGAGTATCCAACTTTCCACGAAAATAATGAATGCATCCAAGAAGATTATAACTTTACACCTTGTGATTACTTAAAGGTTAGAAATTTGAGTCTAAACTGTGATTGATGAGGAGTTAGCTTATATAAGTCTATGTGTTTCTACCTGATCGAGGACTCTCCATACACTTTTCTGAAACCGAGTGATTGTAAGAAAGAGAAATTTTACAATGCTATATAGTATTGGTGCTATAGGGTTTTACTTTTATAGTACAACTTTAAGTTGTAACTTTAACATTATGGTATAACTTCAGCTTGTACCTATACTATTTTTCAAATTCTTTTATGGTACAACTTGAATTTGTACCTTTATGTGATGGTACAACTTAAAGTTGTGAAGTTGTACCATAACATAAAGGGTATAAATTCCTTTATGGTACAACCCAAACTTATACATTTTACGTTACGGTACAACTTTAAGTTGTACATTAAAGCACCCATGCTTTATAGCATAGTAGAAGTGCTCTTGTAAGAATTCATGGCTTCATGATGCATTTTTCTCTTCATAAAACCTCCCGTAAGTATGATTTTTTTCTTCTTGCTTCATCTTTTCCGGCCCCATCTCTGTCCTGCAGGCAAGCTAACCTGAAACATGCGTTTCCTCCGTCGATGGCAACTGAGATATGGAAGAACGAACTCAAGGTCAATAAAGCATAACAGAAACTTAAAAAGAAAAAGGCAAAGGGAGGGAGAGCGTGGAGACAAGAACAGATGCAAAGATTTTGAGCTCCTGATTCTTGTGGCTAGGCAAATAAATAAAGATGAAATAAAAGGCGAGGAAATCGGTAAAATAACAGCCTGGTCACGTGCAAAAGACGACTCCGGCTGGCCTGGAAAAAAACTAAAGGCCATTATGTCACATGATGATCAAAGTAAGTGAGTAATCTCTATTTCTCTCCCACACATGTCCCTGTTCCCAGTGAGGTGGAAATTGGTTTACTACAAAATGCTCATCGCTGGGAGTGCCCTAAAGTACAGGCTGCTCCTGTAATGACCAAATCACAATGCCCTCTTCAGTTCAGCTGCTCTCCTAGCTAGTAGCTAGTCTCTCGGATGGAAGTTGGCTACTGTGCTTACAAGTCGTCGTCGCATAAATTATACGATATGTTCTTTAACCGTATGGATTGTTGGATGCTCGATCCAATAACGTAATCACATGCTCATAAGCAATGTACCCAAATTTATTGGCTAAATTACACGTTTGGTCACTCAAATTATACAAATTTTTCACGTTTGCCACCCGAATTACTTTTCTTTCTTATTCGCCACTAACTTTACGAATCGTTTCACGGTTGGTCACCGGCCGTTACACTCCGTTAAGTCTGTCCTACGTGGCAGTCAACTATAAAGTTTGACCGTTAACTAGATGATGTGGAAATTAAAAAAAAATATAAAAAAAATAATTTCTTTCCACCTCATCATTTCAGACCGGTTCGGTTTGTGATTCTTGGGTGGGTGTGGCTTAACTAATAAATTAATAAAAAAAAAAAACTAAAGCAGGCTACGGATAAATGCTCCACTTCTGTCCAGCAAAGCCACAGCCCCCGAAAAAGGTTCCAGACCTTCGTCCCATTTCCTCTTTTCCTTCTTCTTCTTCTTCTTCTCTGTCTTTCTTTCTCTCTCAGTGTACAATCTCGCACATTTTCCCGATGCAACCTGGTAACAAAAGATTGCTGCCACCAGATGACCGGCTGCCGGCGCAAGTCCCCGGCAATGTCTGCACTTGCCAGCAGATCCATGCTCCTCCCTCTGCTCCTCCTCATTCACTCCTTTCCTGCTTCCGTCTCTGCTCAGCGTCGGGGATCTGGTTCTGCTCCCTCCTGGCAGACTCTCTCCGGTAAGTCCCGACCTCTCCACATTCTTCTCCTTCCTTCCTTCCTTCTTCTTCTCTGGCGGTGCAGAACTTCTTTGCTCTGGCTTCCTTTTCCTCCTTCTATCTCTCTATGAAGTTGGGCGCCGTTCTGCTTCTTGATGAGTCGAGGAGTTGAATTAGGTTAGTTAATGGCGGTTTCTGGGAGTAAACTCGAGCTAGCTGGCGTCAATGCGAGCTCCGGCTTCGTCTAGCTAGGGCCGAAAGGCTGCTATTGTATTTGAATTGCGAGCTCCAAATTCTTCAGCATTTGAACCATTTCTTTCTTGTTTTTGCGGAGGTCGGTTTTTGTAAATTGTACTGTTAGCTCAATCGGTTAGAGCGTCGGCGGCGGACAATTCGCTAACGTCATGAATTCATCCACTCTAGATATTCTCTCGTGCGGGGAGTAATTACATTTGTTTTTGAATGATTGAGCAATAGCGAATCGCCATTTTCTGTGTTTTCCCCCCTTCCGGGAAGAACGCTGCTGATTCAACAGTTTCCTTCATTTTGTGCAGGAAATAGCCCCATAGTTGTAGCTCGGGGTGGATTCTCTGGTCTAGTTCCGGATTCATCCAATGCGGCTTACCAGTTGACACTGCTGACCAGCGCGCCGGATGTTGTCTTCTGGTGCGACTTGCAGCTCAGTCAAGATGCATTGGGGCTCTGCTTTAGTTTTTTTTTTTATTAATTTATTAGTTAAGCCACACCCACCCAAGAATCACAAACCGAACCGGTCTGAAATGATGAGGTGGAAAGAAATTTTTTTTTTTAATTTCCACGTCATCTAGTTAACGGTCAAACTTTATAGTTGACTGCCACGTAGGACAGACTTAACGGAGTGTAACGGCCGGTGACCAACCGTGAAACGATTCGTAAAGTTAGTGACGAATAAGAAAGAAAAGTAATTCGGGTGGCAAACGTGAAAGATTTGTATAATTTGAGTGACCAAACGTGTAATTTAGCCCAAATTTATTTTACCACTAGTTCTTGTCACAGAGGTTTGCAACTTGCAGGGACTTGGAAGTTCGTTCTGGGCCCATTTTGAGATAAACAGCTTCGTTTTGATTGGGCTTTATGTTCAGAGGAAAAAACTTGACAGGGCCGACGTTTATGGGCTGCGAAGAGAAAACCATTGTTGGCTGGAAGGAACAACGAAGTCATTGGTCTTGTTGGGCCTACGTACAGTAGCTGCTCTTGTTGGATCAACTATTCTAGCCGGGCCACATTACGGAGGACGAGCCTCAATATTTGGTTGAAGTTGCTAATAATTGGCTAGAGTTTCATATATATTTGGATGGGCTTAATTGCAAGTTTGGTCACTCGAATTGCTATAAAATTTCACGTTTGCCACTCAAATTAATTTATTCCATTTATAGTCACTCGAATTAGTTGAACAATTCAAGTTCGGTCACTCTCCGTTAACCTCCGTTAACTTTGACTAACGTGGCGGTCAACTCTGACAGTTGACCGTTAAATGTGTGACGTGGCAAATAAAAAATAATTAAAAAATAAAAATTAAATTTGTAGAAATTACACATCATTATTACAAAAAATTATAATTATAAAAAATGAAAAAAAGGAAATTTTAACAAAAAATTCTCGTACTTTATGAGAACCTGAGTTAGAATCAAAACCACATTTTATCTTCTTTTCATTCTGCATGGTAATTTATGGAATTGAAACCCAAAAAGCCTCGAAATTTGAGAACCGAATCGATTTAATCCGATATGATGCAGACTGAATCGTTGCGCAGACCAATAACCCTTTCATTGATTCTTGGTGTACTTCACTTGTGTCCAGATGCCAGAAACCCAGAAAGAATCAAACTTTTTGCAGAACAGATGCAATTTTATTATCAACGTGATGAAAGCAAGTAAAGTACAGAGAAAACAACAGCAAGAAGCTAAAACGACAACACGAAACTGGGAATTGACATGCTGCTAAACAGAACCACACTTCTCTTAATCACCTCATGGCTATATGGTTCTTTCTCAAAGCTTCTCCACTGAACAAAGACGCGAACTCTAAGCGTCCTTCACTACAACAGCTTCCGCTGGAGCAGCCGCAGCCGCAACAGTAGTTTCCTCCTTAGCAGCAGGTTCCTCAACCTCGAACACAGCAGTAGGGAAAGACCTGTACAGCCCAGTTGGGGACTTGAACGTAACTTTCCCAGTAGGCGGCTCATCAGTATAGATATTGCAGAGGGAAACCCAAAGCACAAGCTCTTTCGTCTTAACACCTGTCAGCTTCTTGATCTTCCTATTTTCAACCACTGCAGTCACCTCTGGCGCATATGTCACAAGCTTCCCAATTTTGTCGAACTTGTGAGTGATGCTCTTCTTCTGCTTCAGCCAGACGAACCCTGTCTCCCTGTTGATCCCACATTCCACGATGTCGTGAAGTGGCAGCAGCCCATTGGGGAGCTGGATCTCCTTGAGGAGCTCCTTGGATTTGGCCTGACGGATCTCGTCGCCATTGTAGACCTCCGTGGCTTTAGCCCTGATCTCTTCTGTGACTAGAGACATCTTCTTTTGTTTCTCGTGAAGAATTAGATCGGGACGAGGACGATCGACGGGGTGTGGTAGCTGAGCACGCTCTTCCCCGCCGCCAGCTCGAGCAGCAGCAGCACCGCCAGCCCGAGAAACGCGATCCGCCCGTTCAGCCTCTCGCTGTAAGGAGTGAATCCGAATTCCACTTTCAAGCATGCTGAGACCGGCTCCTTCAGCGGGACCGGAGGAAGGTAGAGGGCCGCGCCGGAGGACCAACAGGTTGGTGCTGGTGGCGTTTCAGCAGGTGGTTAAAGAGAGCTTTGCTCTGTACATGGAGATAGTCGAGGTCCTGACCGTCCTGCTCGATCGATTCGCGGAGATGGAGTACGCCCACACGGTGAAGGCGTTCGATGTCTATGTGAGCGCGGGGAAGATGATTGACGAGCTTTTCCTTTTTTTTCATTTTTTATAATTATAATTTTTTGTGATAATGATGTGTAATTTCTAAAAATTTAATTTTTATTTTTTAATTATTTTTTATTTGCCACGTCACACATTTAACGGTCAACTGTCAGAGTTGACCGCCACGTCAGTCAAAGTTAACGGAGGTTAACGGAGAGTGACCGAACTTGAACTGTTCAACTAATTCGAGTGACTATAAATGGAATAAATTAATTTGAGTGGCAAACGTGAAATTTTATAGCAATTCGAGTGACCAAACTTGCAATTAAGCCTATTTGGATGTAGAGCATTTCAATCTTCGCTCAAAATCAATCCAGTTTGGAGATCCACTAACAGTCACATAAAATTCACCAATAAAGGACAATATGAGATACTGAAAAACTAATGAAATCCAGAGGTAACATATGGCATTTATTAGCCAGAAAATCGACACACTTATTTCCCTCACGGTAAATATAGGAGATTGTCACTTCACAATCATGGACAAGCAGCTCTTTGAACCACTAAATGATAGTTGCATGCTGATCGTCCGTCCTATCCCGATTAAAAGAAGCTCTAGAACACATTTGGAGTCAAGCTCCACACAAACTCTGATGCTCAAGGTTCCAAGTCAACTGGAGTCCTTCCACATTCACCTAAAAAATAATTTTAGTTCTCACTTTGATTAATCTTTAAAATTAAATAAGCTTTCGAATAGCCATCTTAATGAGTTAGAATAAATGAGTTGGGCCAGAAGAACGTTAAACTTAATTCTTTTGGCTCGTCATATAAAAAGTCACTATTTCAATTACGAGGTTGTTGCACGAAAAACTATATCTTAGCTCCAACGACTTGGAACCATGACGAGTTGAGAGCTGATCAGTGAGGAGCTAGAAAAGAGGTGGCTAGTCTCATGACATTTGTTGAATAAAAACCAATCCTCTTAGATTCTTTATAATTACACCAATTGAATAATTAGGATGATCCTTTTTTTTTCTTTTTGCTAATAAGCCTAGAAACCACAAATGGCATACACAAACAACGCCTTTGATTGTCTTGCTTATGTTTCTTCCTCCCTTAAATCACATTGAACACGAATAATTCTGCACAAATCCTTAAAAAAAATATCGCTACGATCGGATACCCGAGTGCAAAGTTACGTTCGTTTGAAGTTTCGGCCGAAGTTAGGAGTTGATCGAAAAAAAAATTTTTGACCAAACTGCTGGGTGGGGTGGCGGTTTGGTCCAAATTATTTTTTTTAAACAGTGGTACTTTTGGATTTTTTCCGAATAACCATTCATAACTTGTCTATTTAATGATGCAGTCACTTAGTTGGCTATGGTTGAAAAGAAGATTGGCATAACAAAAAAAGAGTTTGTCTGAAAAAAGCGTAGCGTAAATAGGAAACTCTTGATCATAAACTTTATTCAACATTTATTACTTTTGTTTAAGAAACAATACATATATAGCAATATCTGAACCTTAAAGTATTTTGCACAATAGAATAACAAAATTAGTTAGAAAATAACATTTTCCATCCATACTCTATGCAATGAAAAAATTATTTATCAATCAACATACTCTAAATTTAGTTGAAGGACAATCTTATTCACTCAATAAAAAATTAAATCTATCTTGTGGTACCTACCTTGCTAATGCACATGACCACATAAATAAATATTAAATAATAATTGTGAAGACACAATTATCCTTCCTACTTTCACTCTCGTTGCAGAAAATTTGAAATGATGAAAAAATGCCTCCAACTCTACTATAATATATTTGTAGATTAATCTGGTCCGTTAAATATAATATGAGCTCATGATACTTCAAAATATTAATGTTTGCAAATACAACTTAAATTTGTATCAAAACGTTAAAATTATAAGTTCAGTTTGTATCGTAAATTAATTTGTATGAAATATATCAGTACAAATTATACCATAACCTTAAAGGTACACGCTGAGTTTATATCATGAATGAGTTTGTAAGAAAAGTTATAGGTACTGAGTAAACTATTATCATAACATTAAAGGTATAAGTTTACCATTAGTATTTTTTTAATGAAAGCACTGAAGATGTGGATCATAATAAAATTCCTCTATATATTTATTAAATATATTACTATTAACTCTGTTTTATTGTAACCATTTAAGTAATTTTGATTATTGTTAGTTTCTTAACTAATTAGGTGTATAATTTAAGGTTCATAACCACTCCCTTATTATATTTTAATTTATCATATTTAATTTATATAATGAAAATTAAAATATCAAAAAATAAACAAATTATATTATATAAATTGATATCTTTTTTTACATATTTTGGAATAAAAATATGTAAGTCTAGCATTCTATAGCATCATATATAATAGCAGTCACAAACTATCAATTCTTCTGTAATAGTACCCAATATCTATGACAATTTCTAATGGTATCTCTACCATCAATTTTTTCTTAGATTGTTATGAAAGTGGTATCATGTTACCCTCATGCTAAGAAAGACAAAAACTTTGTAATTGGTGAAGATGATGGTGCTTTAGAAGAAGGAGTGTGGAGCCACCGCATGAAATTCGCAATAATTATTCACATTGAGGAGTAAATAGTATTGTCGTCTTATTAAATTTTCAGGAGTGAATTTCTTTGCATGACTTTTGTTTTTTACTTAGAGTAAGAACTTCCTTCAGAAAATTAGTTTGGCTTGTTACAAATGATAAGAGTATGATTTCACTATCTAAATGATTTGAAATTTTTGTGGTATGAAATAAAACATGCTTTGAACAATTACTAAGGTTATTTAGACTAATAAAGAAATTCATCTGGCCAATGGACGAGCCCTGATCTAGCTGGTCACAGTGTTATTGTTGAATGTCAAGTTGGATACAAATTTGATACATATGATTACACAGAGTAGCAAATGATCAATCACAGAGTTACTGTTGAATGTTGTTTGTGCCCAAATACCTTCGCCTTACTGGCCATACCTTAGGCTCCTCACCTTGGAGCCTGATCTTCTGAGCGCCCGAGTCCTGCTTAACGCTCTGTAGGCGCCTCACCTTGAAGCCCGCTCCTTGGTGCGCCTTGGTCCTGCTACCCAATCCTTAGGCGCCTGGCCTACACACACGCACTGAGGGGGGGCGCCTGGGCCCATTAATCCTCCGACGCTCAAGTTAGTTCCAATTATAGAGAGAGAAGTATGAAACTATAGGTTTTAGTGAGAGAGTCCAACCTGCGTAAATGCTACCTACCAACCCTATTTATACTCACCCAACCCTGGACCGGGTTAATTCCATCCAGCTCCACGTCAACATAGTTTTTAATGCTCCGTACTTCTGTCAGACCGGGCGCCCCGACCAACATGTCAGGCTTCTGACAGATGCAAGGCGCCCAGACCGTACTCCCTTGGAGTCTTCCGAGTCTTGTCTCCTAGCTTCCCTCATCATACTTGAGCTTGGCCTTGCGGGCCAACCCGTGAGCTTGCCCCATAGAGTAACCCTCCTCTTCCTCATTGGGTCGTATTTGGGCTTTCACTTGGGCCTCTCTTTGTAACACCCCCAACTATTTCCCCCCCAGTTAGGCTCTCAAGTCTCCAAAACTTGAGGGCCTGACTATATTCAAGGGTCTGACTATCCCTCGAACCGTTTGCCAATCGGAGCGCCAGGTGCCCTCCAATTACCTCCATCCGCTCGACAAGCGTATGCGACACGATTTTCCTCTTGACCATCTCGATCTTCCCTTTAAAGGCTCCCCGGCTTTGATGAACCGCTCGCATGTCCACCTGTTGTCATCCGGTAGGCGCCCGTACACACATGCCCTATTTTTGTTATCGACACCTCGACGCTGTTGAGCTAGGCGCCCTCTACCTGCCACCTTTCTTCTTTGTTGCGTTGAGCGCCCGCCATTACGTGCTTTCTCGCCTATTGAATACCGCCTTGCCTCACCGTTGAGCTTGGCGCCTGATGTTCATCACTCTTTTTCCTAGTTTTTTCCTTCCGCCAGCTTGGTTCACGCATCTTCGCTCAGTGGGATGCCTCGTCCTTACGCAGTAAATGCCCCCCTTTCCTTGTTACAGGCTCTTCGGTCTTATTGAATCGTGCGCCTGTCAATTATTGATTCTCCTCCTACTCGACCTAGGCGCCTGGATTGCGCGCTCCCCTTGCTGCCCAAATTCGACCTACCCACCTTTCTGGGCCCAAATGTGGGCTTTGCTTTCCACTGCTCCAATGAGCTACATTGAGCTTTTACTTGGACTTGTTCCTTTGTAATACCCCCAACAATTGCCCCCAGTTAGGTGCACAACACCTGGTATTTTGAGTGCCTAACTATCTCCACAGTGGTACGCCTGTCTCTTTCTTCTCTGGTCGACTTTTCCCACAAGTCCCCTCAATATGGCGCCCACTCAATGCCCCCCTCAAATTTATTGACTCATTCTGGATATGCCTCTTTTTGGAACATGCGCCTGTTAAATGCCCCCCCCCACGTTTATTAACTTATTCATAACGGGTGCCCTACCTCTACCAAATACACGCCCCTACATTCAATGACCCTTTATGGCAGGCGCCCGACCGTTGCGAGATACGTTTCATGGTGACAGGCGCCCAACGCACCCCCATATTCAGTGACCGCTTTATGCCAGGCGCCCCAACATTTATTGACCACTTAAGGATAGACACCCGAAATTCAATATTGACTTTATGAAAATTGGGCTTTCTCTACACCCCTAACAATTGCCCCCCAGTTAGGTGCGCAATATATCCAATTGAGCGCAGCATACGT